GGGATAGAAAAATAAAAATGTCGTGTGTACTTGCGGTACAGTCGTACTTAATGACGACTTTACTCGTTATCAGCATTTATAATTTTTTTATAGAACCCATTTCTACCTTTAACATTAAACTTCTTGCCATTTTATAATACTTTATATATATTTAAACTTATTCATTTTTTTGTGTTTGGGGTTAAAACTATAACGTATTTTATTAAAATAACGGTTATTTAATCATTTCCGAATAATATTGTAAAGAAACGGACGATTTTAATACAGAAATTATTTAATTATTCAAATTTTTAGCAAGCGATGCGAAGTGCCTATAGAATNGCGGCAGCAAAAGTTTGCCGAGAAAGTAAAGGAACTCATTGCTAAGGTTTTTTCATGTGTTATAACATAAAATTATTTTTATAAATGCATATCACATATTTCAAAATTCATTTTGAAATTGAATGTAGCACCTTTATATACAACGAATAAGTGGCATTTTAAGATCAATTCTGTTTTTTTTAATCAAATAGTGAAGGTTATCCTTATATCGGAGTGCAACACTATAACAAAAATAGCACTGTCTTTTTGTCAAATCCCAATCAACCTTCACTTATACGAAATTGTAAATGTCAACATTCGATCACCCGCCTCTATCAGTTACTGCCAGTGACACATACAATTTGGGAAAGATTCGTTTAGCCTACTTCCAAGATTATAATTGTAGTGTATAATTAATTTTAGAAGAAGGGCGCCTCTCACCTATTCCGAGTTATAATGTTACTATTTTAATTGTGTAAATATGGAGATTTTCCATAAATTTTTACTCGAAATTTCTAAAAATAATCATATTTTGTAATAAAATCTACCTCTGTAATCACGTTTTAAAAAGTTTCCCAGTATTTCCTGTATTCAAGGTGCGTTACCTTGAACACAAATGGGAAGAGAATGACTTTAGTAAAACTAACGAATCACCGTAAAATAATGTAGGAAATTAAACTTTATATATCGGTGTAGAGAACGACTCGAGACACGTGAAAGCAATTAATAGACACACCAAGCACGTAATGAACATTAATTGACTCTCCGAACACGAAGTTGATTCGTGTTCTCACGCACATAATATAAACACAAATAAAACAGTGAAAAAGCAATAAATAGATTTATAGATATATAATAGAATCCGACTTTTTACAGTTTACAATATACAAATTTACAGTTTCATTTATACAGTTTACTGATATTGCCTGTATACATACGATGCTATCATACCAATGTTTATATTCGTACTTATAGGCCTATGTTTATTTATATGTAATTGTTTATGTTTATATGTAATTGTATATGTTTATTTATATTTCTTGTCTGCACCGTTTTCAAAACAAGGCACGATTTCGAAAGAGACTAATTATTACAGTTATCCTTGATAAAAATACAATTTATTATGGTATTTCCCTCCTTCCATTAAGTAACGAGCTAGAAATATACGAGACACAAAGAAAAACCAGTCAAGCTGTATTATAATACCAGACCAGTAACAATTTCGAGTAAACACTTGTATCTAACTTGTAAGCTGCAAATCTTATAACATTCGTTCTTCTCTTACCGAGGCCAAAATCTGCAAAGTAAATTTTCTAAAATAAAATTTGATGAAGGACATTAATTATTTGCGTGTTCGACCTGTTGCCAAGAAATTAATCGTTTCTTAAATATATAAATAAGGAAGAAAACCGGTCGTAATCGACAGATAAAGTGTCTTTCGACAATTTGGTTGACTCCAGTAATTCGCAAGATCAAGTGTCGAAACAGCTGTTTGGAAGAACTTTTTGGGTAATATTTTTCAAGTATTTATGAATAAAATACTTATAAGTTATATTTAAATTTAATCCTTTATAAGTTTAACTTATTAAATTTAAGTATAATTTTACTTTTTCATCATAACATTAATATTAATTAAATAGTTTATAAAATATAAATCGCCTGTTTAATTACAACATGTATTATTGTTATTACATAACTAGTTATTATATGTATTTATATATTAACCCCTTTTATATCCCCAATTCGTCTACCTTTAATTATTAAATTTTAATTGTATAACCTTTATATTGGTGTGTAGAAAGGCTAAAAGCAATTCAGAAATTTTGCGCCGCGTGTAGAATCGAGAGGCAGGTATTTTAACGGATTATGTTCTGTCATTCTCTTAAAATCTCACTACCATAGATCCAGTGTACGAATTTCCTAAGACCCCACACTAATACGAAACCTTCCTTCTCTATCGTCATCCAACACAATTCTTTCCCTTCATCGTAATGCAAGCAGGACAAGCTCTGAAACACTGTACGATTTTTTGGATTCTGGGAAAAACATTAAAGATACTTCCTCACTTTTATGAATGCCCTTTCATAATCTCCTGTCAAACTGATTACATTTTATCTGCTTCACATTGCCAAATAATCAAGACAAAGCGGTAATCCTATGAAGTACGGAAATGGAAATCGTTCATCTCCTGTGTTGTATTAACGTATCATTTACGATCCTCTGCAACGTGACTGTAGGTTTGTTTCAGTCCGAAAGACGTCACCTGTAACTGAAAATGTCACTTATTGGAATGAAGCTGACATTTTTCAGATCATGTGTATTTTAAGGTTAAAATATAAGTTTTTTTTCTATCCTTATAATTCCTTTCCTTATGGTTGCCTCATTACGTGATGTATTGGCCTCTTTAAAAGTTCTCGATTCAAGACTTGTGGCTGATTGTGTACACATAAATCAACCTCTTCAGTTAATCACGATATCCTCGCGTTAAATGAATGGGATTAGAGGATCAGTGTTTTTTTCATTAATTAACCAGTGTCATCCGAATCTTATTTCGAGGTTTAACATTATATAATGAACAAAAACATAGCATTATTTTAAATAAAATAACTTTTGAATAAATTACAAGTCAAACTTTAAAATTTCTAAGAATTATTACATTTTGAGATTAAATCTTTCCCTATATTCACTCTTTGAAAGCTTTCCCTATATTCCCTGTATTCAAGGTAATCATTTAATTTCCATCCAATGTAAAAAAAAAAGTACTTTAGTTAGAATTACGAATAGACACGAAATAATACAAAAAAAATGAGTCTTTATTACAGGAAATAAACACATTTTGTACATAAGATTTCTGCTAATTATCGTTATAAAACACACGTAACAGTAATTAGTAATTACGTCAAACACGTAATAAATATTAATGGATTTTTCGAGGACGAAGTTGATTTGTGTTAGCACGCAGAAAAAAACACTTAAATACACACGCAGACATGCGAAAGAAGTGAGGCTGTACTCAAAGGTGCAGCCTTAAAAGATAAAAGAAATGAGTGAGGGAGGAGGGAGAATGAATAGAAGAAAGGCGGGATAATTGGAGGTTTGAAAGTGAAGGGTGAGGACATGAGCCGCTTCAAGGACTGTTGGATAAGACAGGGATATACAATAGATTACGCGTGCATAGCAATTTGTATTTACAAAGAGAATTATAATACTGTATGTAAAATACAGTATTATAAATCTCCTGTTTAATTAAGACAAATGTTTTTATTATTACACGAATAGTTATTACATATATCTATTTATATATAAACTTGTAGAAAAAAAATTCTAGCAACGTGTCTCGTCATTTTCCCAGCAAAAAAGTAAAAATTGTGTGTATCGCCATCTGTTACCAGATTTTATTTTTAAAAGTTTTATATTATTAATTGATATAAAATGCCGAAAAGCTTAATTTTGTATACGAATACGACAAAGAATAATTGGGATTATAAAATTAATTCTCTTTTCTTTAATTAATCAACCAGTGTCATCCAACCTTTATATCGAGAGTCATTATATAATTAATAAAAACATAGCATAATTTTAAATAAAATAAATTTTGAATAAATTACAAGTCAATCTTCACTAAACGACGTCAATAAAAGAATCTTTTACTCTATCAGTAACTGATGACGGAGCTCGTGTTTAGAATAATAATTAAAGTATATTATTACTTTTCAAATAAGTGCGCATTTCACCTATTCTGAGTTATAATTTTACTATATTAATTAAGTAAATATAGATATTTTCCATATATCTTTGCTCGATATTTCTAAATATAATTATATTTTGTGATAAAATCTTTCTCTGTATTCATTCTTTGAAAGCTTTTCTTGTATTCCCTGTATCCAAGGTTGGTTGTATCTTTTATGTTGGATGGGAAAAGAATGATTTACTGTGTGCACTTTGCGATATAAAAACTCGTTGCACGTTGTTGTGCAACGAGTTCTTGTAGTACTCTTCGTTTACTACAAGAAGATCCGTTCTACTCAAAGAGGAATATGTATTACAATACTACTGTCGGTTGTTCACATCGAAAAGTGTAAAAAGCAATCATTATTGGAAACAAAATAAGGAATGTTGAATTAATTTCCAATTCGAATTAACAAATTCTTGTACAAGTTTTGTTGGCTTTGTCGCGTGAAAATTAACGTTGCGACAATGGCGTTTTGCCAAAACAATGGCAAATCTCGCTTTATCGCTGCTCGTTTTAAGACGAATCGATTGTAAAATAGAGTAACATAATGAGATTACACATATAAAATTACCAAAGTAGAATAGTACGAAGCGATCAGGATGACGGTAAGCAGAACAGAGACGAATCTTCCTAAATTCAAAACGTACAGAAAATAAATTAAATAAATAAATAAAACACAGATCGAAAGTGCAGATCACTTCGCACATAGACTGTTTCCATAACAGGTTTCTCTTAAATAATAATTAAATAAGCGGAATTATGAATTCATTTATAATCTACACGTTTTGAAAACAAGGCGCGATTTCGAAAATAAACTGGTTATTACAATTTCCTTATTTAAAAATTCGATTTAATTTCGTGGTTTTACGGTATTTACCGCCTTCCATTGAATAGTGAGCAAGAAACATACGAAACACAAAGAAAATCCATTCCAGCTGTATTAATAATTTCGTTCGACCGTAATAATACTTGCATCTTATAACATTCAATTTTCTCTTATCCAGACCAAAATCTGGAAAGTAAATAAAATTTCTGTTATAAAATTCGATGAAGGACATCGTATATTTGCGTGTTCGATCTGTTGCCAATAAATTATGTTTTTTCTAAAATATATAAATGATAGAGATAACCGGTTTTTTTTCCACAGATGAAGTTTATTTCGACACTGGTTGACACCGCTAATTCTTGAGATCAAAGTATCGAAACAGCTTTTTCGAAGATTTTTGGGTAAGCTTTTTCTGCTGCTTTCTTTTTTTCATTTTTAAATTATTACCGAAGCAATTAATTATAAAATATTAGAAAAATTAAAGGGTTGCGGAGAATATTTTCTGAAATAAATCCTTCGTTCTCTAAACACGAATCCGTTTAATTGACTAAATCTAACAAAACTTAAAAAGTTTTAGATGTTTCCAACTGTTAATTGCTAAAGACATAAATGAAAATACAAAAAATAGCAATTCACATTTTATAAATTCTTCGGAAAATGTTTTATTTTATTTGTTGTCTTTAACTTGACACTTGCTTTTTCTCTCATTCTATATAATTTGATTAATTAAATTATTATAAATCGCGTGTTCGAAACGTAACTTTGTATTATTATCATTATCATTATACTTATTACATGTATTTACATATTAACTTCTTAACATTGATGTTTATGATAGAAGTACACGATTACATTTGCATTTATTATTTTTTTATTGTAAAAAAAAACAAGAAATTAATGATGTATTATTCGCATACATTCATTAAAACTTTTATTTATCTGCGTGGCCTCGAGCACGTAAGTCAATACGTATAAGTTTGGCAAAGTTTTCCTCCTTTTTATCTCGTCACTTTTTCTTGTTTTGTTTTCTACGCGATTTTAACACACATAATTTAAGGATGTAACATAAAAAATAATTAAAATGCTGTATAATAAAATAAAGATTGCATATACGTGTACCTCAGTGAGGAGTGATAAAGTCCCGTTTCTTAAGATCACTACGCAGCCATTTAGCTTTCTGGAGATGATATCAGGAGCCAATTACTTCTCATTTATCCACACTAGAAGGAATTTTCCATCTCCTGCAGGTCAACGTTGTTATATTTGCTGCTTTTATCGCTTCTTTCTTCTTAAAAATGCTACACCGCCGTCGACTTTGATGTCTTAATTATTCAACACAAAGGTTTTACTAACGTGTTAATTAGACTTAAGCATAACCGTTAACTGTGTTATTCATTCTTTAAATAAAGTAGAAGCCCGTTATGGCCCACTATCGAGACCCTAAAAGATCACGTTTTGATGCAATACTGTATTCTATAATCTATTATGAAAGAAAAAAACAACAGTTAAATAATTAAACAAATCACCACAGGATTAATTCATATGTTTTTACGTCCTTATCTTATACAATTTTTTATATAAATCTCTATACATCGTATAAATAGGACTATTGTACTGTACTAGTGTTCTGTTTCTGCAATGAGAAAAACTTATTCAGAGGAAAAACAAACTTATTGTCCACAGGTAAAATAAAATTTTGAACATTAAAGTGTTTAATAAAAATATGCAGGTATGGTTACACGTAAGGAGCATTCAATCGTAAACCGGCAGTGCGTATAAATTTCGTTTCTTACGTAATTAAAATATAGAGGAAGTTTTATTGTTTATAAAAATACTGTATAATATTTTGCACGATTCAAGTGTCTTCCAAATGTCATAAACTGGATTTAAGACCATTTTCCTTGTCTATGACCAGTTACTTTCTCAAATACATAGCTTTAAACATAAATAAAATCGTAAATCAGTAATCATTAAACTTTCTAAATGCGGGCCGCGAGTAAATTTCGTACGATTCGGGCGGCCTTCACGCAATTTTTCTTATGCAGTTGCAGGCATTAATGCTGCTCAATAGTCCATAACCCCTGGTAACTACGCACTAAAATAATACAGTACATGGTAATTAGTGTATTTGCAAAGTAGTAAACAGTTACACAGTTTATTTTCATTTTTTCACTGGCCAAATTTGAATTGTCTTCATTACAAATATCACCTGAAGTAGGGTTGATGAGGACGAAAACGAGAAGATAAAATTAGGTTGACAAAGTCTGGGGCAGCGAGTTACAAATGACTAATTAGCATAAAATTGCATTTTTATAGATTTTAATAATTGTAAAGATGATCTAATTAGTTATTTTGAAATTTTTCTTTAGGGTTTCATGAGAATTTTTGAAACCGAAAAGCAAAAAATGTCTTTTTTCCTATATGACATCGCCAGCCTCACGCTACAGGTGGCTGCGTGGATCTTCTCGTTCTTCGAATGTTTCTTTCACAATTTCGTTATATTTTTTCTGGATTTAGCAGGAAAACCATGTCAACTGATTCTCTTATTGGTCTTATTAATAATTATTTACTATTCTTTAGTTAACTACGATAAAACTATGGTAAGTCGGATCTTAATACGTTTGTCAGTTATTCATGCTTCTTTCTTCCTTCCTTTTACCATGAATTACTTTTTACTTGTCCAACGTGTTTTGTAGGATATGACAGAGACAGGCTACGATTATTTACGTCCTAGAGCGAAAAAACTACGTCAGAACTTATCGTTGTTGGTACGAGAAGTTAACGAGTCAAGAGATCCCGGTGAACTCCCACCTGTATATCCGAATGGATGGATACCTTTAATGGAATCTAGAAATCTTGCAATCGGCCAATCTGCACCCGTAACTGCCTTAGGTAATTTTACATCTCTAGTGATAACTGATTCGAATTTATACGTAAGGTATAGTTTAGGAGGAGCTCACTGTTATTAGATTAGGAATATCACTTACGCGTTACACCTTAGAATGGCAACAAACCTAATCCAGACGGTTTAAGAGTATCAAGAATACTTTTAACTGCTTTAATTGTCTCTACTAATGAATATTAATGATGTTTCTGTTACTTTATTCAACGTAGTTCACTCAGTTCTTCTTTTCCAGGTCATCAGTTTGCAATATTTCGTGGTAAAACTGGTCAGAGCTTCGTTTTGGATGCCTTCTGTCCTCATTTAGGAGCTCATTTAGGGGTGAAAAGCAAAGTATACGGTGATTGCGTGCAATGCCCCTTTCACGGTTGGTTATTTTCTGGTAAAGATGGCTCCTGTCAGAAAATACCTTATACTGATAAAGGTAAGATTTTATTTATATAGAATATAAAGAGTGATCTGAAAGATGCCTACCAAGTTTAATGCTTTATTACATCTGAATCACCAGTGTACAGATTTTCGTGATATTTACGATATGTTCAGTGTATTCGACTATCAGTTCAATGATTTCAACATCATAAAAATCGTCATAAATGAGAATTTATTGATCTCCATCTATTCAATCCTTCAATCATTTATATGGTCTGAGGATACAGCTACCAAAGTAATGAGTTTTTAACTCAATTTGTGTTGGAGGTGAAAAAGTTCTTCAAAGTTTGGTGACAAGCTATGGAATAAAATTGAAGAAGTCGAGATTAAATCTGAAAAGAAATGTACTGAATGTATGATAAATATAAATGATTTGGAATTACTAGATTAGTAGAAACTGAATTCAGTAGATATCAGTTAGATATCTGGCCATACAATTGTAATAAATCATTAAACGAGGGCCATCCTGTTATACTGTTATTAATCGAAATTATTTATTAAAATAACATATTTTATTTCAGTTCCGGAATTTGCTAAAGTTAAAACCTGGACTTCAATTGAACAGAATGGTTTTATATACGTTTGGCATCACGCCGAAGGTCACTCACCATCATGGAAACCTCCCATTATTCCAGAGATCGAGCAAGGATTGTGGAGTTATAAAGGTCGTACGCAATATACAGCGAATTGTCACATACAAGTAAGTCAAAGTTTTATAGCTTTAACTCTTTGTTTCGGTATTTAATGGTGTCAGTTTTTTGCAGGAATTACCGGAAAATGGAGCCGATATAATGCATTTAGATAGCATACATCAAGCTAGTATTTTTTCTGGTAGTAATTTTCATCCAGATAACTGGTGGAATTTTTGTAAACATATCTGGTCGTCTTCTTGGAAGGAAGATTCCGAACCAAATCAACATATGACAACCATGAAAATCACTAATTATATAAAAATTTTTGGAATCTCTTTACCTTGGTTTTCTGCCTCACTGGATATAAAACAGGTAATCTAAATATTTTACCTCTTACCAATCTTACCACTATGGCACTTCCATCACACATTTAATTTTAAAATATATTTGGTTTATAAGTTTGATTAAGTTTGCTTCGTATCACTAATTTCGCCAAGGCACATCTGAGATTTAAATTGAGTAATATATAACAATAGGCCTATAAGCACTGGTTATACTGAATAACAAGATAAACCAAATTAATTACAAAACGCATGCAAAATATGCTAAAAGGTTACAATTTGACTTTTGTAATAATTACTCATAACAAAATGCAATTATAAATATTCTGGCCTGTAGGTAGCATGAGAATGAACCACTTTCACACTTGAAGTGCAATTTTCTTTTCTAATTGTACTCTCAACCATGTAATGAAGAAAACATCGAACCGAAACAGAAACCAGTTTGATTATGTTCTTTCTGTGCTACTGAATATATATTACAGTAGAACCTCGAAAACTCGGCTCTCGATAACCCGGCACTCCGGATAACTCGGCCACACCCTGGCAGGACAAAAAAATCCTTAGTTAATTAATTTTCATTATAGACAGCTTTATAAAAGTATAAAAGCTCTCATAAAGTATTTTTCTGAGGTCTGTCTTATCAGGTAAATTACTGTACACAGTGTATTCATTAATTTTCATTTTCATGTAGTAAAGGCTCTATGCCTTCATAAAGGACGTACTTTTCCTTTGTTTAAGGGTATTTGGGCAGTTTATTTTCTGTTATATTCTCAAGTAAACAATACATACAAGTACAGTACAGTATTTTCTGAGGAAACACTCGTACTTATTTTTTTTTAACAACATTCCCGATAACCCGACATTTTCACAAACTCGGCCACCCTTCGGTCCACATTAGGCCGAGTTTTCGAGGTTCTACTGTAATATCTTTATGTCCTAGTAGCGTTAACATTGCTTCTTACTTTATAAGTGATTAGGCCATTGGTTTGTTTGCTTACTTGTTTGCTGTTTACAGTTTCTTATAATTTTATCTCTAAAATTGCATTACTTCTACTTAACACAGTAAAATTTTAACGCTTTTTCTAGCATTTTACTTATACTTTTAGGATCATATGTTTTTAATTAATTATTTAATAACAAACATAAGTAATAATATTGCCTATACTTTTCTTATTCTTGAAGATTGGTCCAGCAATAGTACATATGTATATCAAGAGCATATTCGGAAGAGGAATATTCATCCAGAGCATCACTCCCGAACGTCCTTTACAACAAAAGATCGTCCACCATTATTACGGACCAAGATTTTCACAGATATCTGCCAGCATTTTACTATTATTGGAAGCCAAAATGGTAACTTAACTAATGATATAGTAACGAAAACTCTGGAATTTCAAGAAAGATTCGACAAAAATAATGATTAATATTTATTTCGAATAGGTTGAGCGAGACATTCTCGTGTGGAATAACAAAAAGTTCTTAAAGGCGCCGCTTTTAGTTAAAGAAGATCGGTTTATTTTAAGGTTTAGGAGATGGTATTCACAATTTTATAGCGAAAATAGTCCAGGAGTAACTAAGAAGACCTTAACTTGGTGAAATACAACCAACTTGTTTCAAGAGATTTCTGAAAGTATTAAACTTACCGTAAAGCTCGATAGCCGTTAATGTGTACATTAAGTAGGGTGATCCGTTAAAGTTGCGAAAATTATTTTATTTCTGAAATTACCTAGGTAATATGCAGAGTATCTAGGTAATATGCAAATTACCTACTAGGCACTCGGTAAAGTGAAAATAAGATCTTTGCTGGAACAATAGCAACGTTTCTGTACGCTTAAATTAACATAATGTTGTTTATTTAATTTTCGATATCTAAAGAATCGAGTTAATACAATCAAACAATCAACAAATCAGTTAATAAAATCAATCATCAATCAAGTAAAAAACTGTAATACAAAAAATCAAACGGTTTAAAATAGTATTACAATTAGGGAAATGGGGTTATATAAATTACCATTTATGGAATTTCGGAACTTTGAGTATATATCTGAACTGAGAGGACCGAGACGACTTCAACGATACCCTACTTTTGGACCAGAGACGAAAAATAAGAAAGTTATCATTCTTTTTCCGACGATCGCATGATAAAATTGTGCGTTAATGTTACCTATGGTGACTAAAATGGCGGCTCGTCTCTGATTTCAGCAAACTAAAGAAAGAAAACAGTGGGGACGCACGTTCTATCCTAACCTAACCTTTATCTAATAAATTACCATAATTATTACCAACCGAATTATTAAAATAGCTTAGGTTAAATTAGGTTAGAACGTGCGTCCCCACTGTTTTCTTTCTTTGGTTTGCTGGAATTAGACGAGCCGCCATTTTAGTCACCATAGGTAACATTAACCAATTGTGCTTACTTATTAGTGCAGTCTAAAGATTGGTGACTGAATTACATAGCAATTGGTTTTTGCGACAAGCACACCTATTTGTGGTACATTTATTTGTGGCAAAGATCTTATTTTCACTTTACAGAGTGCCTAGTAGGTAATATGCAGATTACCTAGATACTCTGTATATTACCTAGGTAATTTGAGAAATGGAACTATTTTCGCAACTTTAACGGATTACACTAGTTAATCTGCAAATTAGCTAGATAATGTACACTTTAACGGCTTTCCAGCTTTATCGGTTACATATATTAATATATTAATACCGTTAGATTAATTATTAGATACATATAGTTGTATTAAGTACCCATCCGGCTTCGGGAGTTATAAATTTCTACAAGTCAAATTCAAATACAAATGGAGAAGGGAATAAAAAAAATCCAGCGACGAGTTACTTAACTTTCCCAGCCGTTAAAATATTTTATTTAAAACGAACATACTTTTAATCATATTAAATAAATAAATAGTTTGTGGCACTATCTCTTATGTGATTTAATCCTAAGAAACTTTTTATATTATTAATTATTATAAAATGGCCACACGCTTCATTTTGAAGGAAGATATAAGTTTTATAAATACTTGCAACTGTTAACAATGAGTATAATCTTTATTAATTCCCTCTCGATTTGAACCCGAATCTCTCTAATCTCCACCCTTTCGACCTATAAGCAAGAAAATTAAATAGTTTGCGTGCCCCTTATACATGTTACCGTGCCAAATTTCAGTTCTTATTAATTTTACAATTCCAATATATGCAGATGGAAAGTAACTAGGGATTGAGAAGTCGCCATAATTTCTACGTTTCTAAAGTAAGGATGATTAGTATTACAGGTCTGATTACAGTATTAAATGGAAATTGTGGCGCATACCTGTACCATCCGCCAACGACACGTTTTTCCAAGATGGAGATCTATCTGGTGAACGGTCTCTGCGCGTTCTCAACCGAATTTCAGTTCAGATATTTACCATAACGAAACTTTATGATATATATTTAGTCATACATCTATAATCAATCATAAATGATATACAACACTATATTTACTCGAATGTACTGTTTCCTTACGGCAAGTTTATTGTAAGTCTACTTAAAATTTGTAATAAGAAGTAAAGTTTTTAGCAACTTTTTGTACCGTTAATAAGTATGCAAATAACATTACTACAGGATTTTTTCTTTATGTTAAATGAAATAGTTTAGTAAGTAGCGTTTAACATTTTAAAAAGAGAATAATGTATATTAACAAGAACACAATGTTTATACGACGAACATTTTTCTTTTGTTAATATAACATAATATTGTATTATATTCATGTTAATATACAATAAACTATAACAAAATTATTTGAAGATTTTTGCACAAGATTCGTTAATTACTTTCCCGGTTGTTACATATAACAAACAGAGGAAAAGTATGACAATCGGTCAATAAATAACTACCCAGATTTTTACACTCGGGGGACCTTGAAACGTCAAAAAATGCAAAAAAATCCAGTAATTTTTTCTGTGTGTATGAATGTAAGTGTATGGGGGGCACAGTTCTCTTCACCCCGTTTCAAGCTTAATAACTCCTAAGTTTTTCGTCAAAAATTTCTGAAATTTTGCAGGGATGTTTGCTTGTTAGGGAATTAATGCTATTAAATTTTGGTGATTAAAGGTGGAGAGGATAGACAAATAAAAAATGTCGCGTGTACTTGCGGTACAGTCGTAATTAATGACGACTTTACTGATTATCAGCATTTAGAATTTTTTTTTAGAACCCATTCCTACTCTTACATTAAACTTTTTGCCATTTTATAATAGTTAAAAATCAGTGGCGTGCCGTGACAATTGACGATAGGGAAGCTGTATTTCTGTAATAAGCCGACTTCCAGGGGCAATTAGTTAATTGCGCGTCAGTGATGGTTTATGATCCATTCGTATATTATTCGAATATATTGTATGAAAAAAAAAAATTATAATTAAATATAGCTTTGTAAAGAAACGTACATAAAAATAACAAAATATTCTTTACTTTTTGAATCTTAAAGCAATACACTTAGTCAAATCGCTCCCTACGTGTATCTAATGGATGGAATCAGACGGTTGCGGTGCGTGCATACACGGGGATTGCCAAATCCCGAGGGAGCCGATACCGTACAGCACGATTTCGTAGTCATAGTTCTGATTTTTACCGCGAGATGCCGCTAGTGTCGTGACGTTCAGATAGCGTATACCTCGTACTGTACTGTACGGTGTGCTTGGAATTTTTTGTCGATATTTTAGCTTTAAAACCATACTTCATCATCGATAATTGGTTTGAAGTTTTCCTGCTACGTTGCTAAGAAATCTTTATGGAAAATATAGCGTTGGATATACAGTGTTAGAAAATACTCGTTGTTATTGTGATAAACACTTCTCAAAAGGAAATCTTACTAAAAAGCGTGTAGGTTTAGAACATAAGCAAATCCTGGTGGAGGAAAAATCTATATTCTGTCGCGAGACTTCGTGTTCCGAAGGATTTTCTACTTTCCTTCGATTACCTGAACATTTGGAGAAAGTACTGTTCCCGTACAATACATGGATTTGCCTGTGAAATTGAGAAGCTGGAATTCAAAACTATGAAGGATAAGTAAATTCTCTTCTGAAATTTTAAAAATGCTGTATTTAATTAATATATCTTAAAATAATTGTTTTCGTTGAATATTAACAGCTCATTCAATTGTAAATAAAAATATTATGTACTGTATTTGATAGATTTCTACGAATGGAAAGTCACAGATAAAGTTGAGAACCAATTGAAGTTAACTGTGTTGTACTGTCTAAAAATTCATGGAATTTATAAATTCTACTCGTGCGGCTCTGGCATACGGGGTCGTGACTACGCTCAGTTCAGAAATGTACTGTACAGCTTGCTTACCGTTGGCCGTTTTTATTTTAAAATCGTAAAATCGCGGCCACTGATTATCAGAAATTATGATTTTTCTCTGTTATTTTGATACTTTTCTTTCTTTATAACGTTTTATTTAGTTTATTTTCCTGTAATTAGAGACGATACGGCTTTAAAATAAACAGATCAGGGGCCATATTCTGGTCACTGTCTCTGGTCTCTCATCTCTCGCAAGCCGGTCGCTGATTGGCTAATCCAAATGATTAGCCAATCAGCGACCGGCTTGCGAGAGACGAGAGACCAGAGACAGTGACCAGAATATGGCCCCTGATCTGTTTATTTTAAAGCCGTATCGTCTCTAATTACAGGAAAATAAACTAAATANAAAATGGCCACACGCTTCATTTTGAAGGAAGATATAAGTTTTATAAATACTTGCAACTGTTAACAATGAGTATAATCTTTATTAATTCCCTCTCGATTTGAACCCGAATCTCTCTAATCTCCACCCTTTCGACCTATAAGCAAGAAAATTAAATAGTTTGCGTGCCCCTTATACATGTTACCGTGCCAAATTTCAGTTCTTATTAATTTTACAATTCCAATATATGCAGATGGAAAGTAACTAGGGATTGAGAAGTCGCCATAATTTCTACGTTTCTAAAGTAAGGATGATTAGTATTACAGGTCTGATTACAGTATTAAATGGAAATTGTGGCGCATACCTGTACCATCCGCCAACGACACGTTTTTCCAAGATGGAGATCTATCTGGTGAACGGTCTCTGCGCGTTCTCAACCGAATTTCAGTTCAGATATTTACCATAACGAAACTTTATGATATATATTTAGTCATACATCTATAATCAATCATAAATGATATACAACACTATATTTACTCGAATGTACTGTTTCCTTACGGCAAGTTTATTGTAAGTCTACTTAAAATTTGTAATAAGAAGTAAAGTTTTTAGCAACTTTTTGTACCGTTAATAAGTATGCAAATAACATTACTACAGGATTTTTTCTTTATGTTAAATGAAATAGTTTAGTAAGTAGCGTTTAACATTTTAAAAAGAGAATAATGTATATTAACAAGAACACAATGTTTATACGACGAACATTTTTCTTTTGTTAATATAACATAATATTGTATTATATTCATGTTAATATACAATAAACTATAACAAAATTATTTGAAGATTTTTGCACAAGATTCGTTAATTACTTTCCCGGTTGTTACATATAACAAACAGAGGAAAAGTATGACAATCGGTCAATAAATAACTACCCAGATTTTTACACTCGGGGGACCTTGAAACGTCAAAAAATGCAAAAAAATCCAGTAATTTTTTCTGTGTGTATGAATGTAAGTGTATGGGGGGCACAGTTCTCTTCACCCCGTTTCAAGCTTAATAACTCCTAAGTTTTTCGTCAAAAATTTCTGAAATTTTGCAGGGATGTTTGCTTGTTAGGGAATTAATGCTATTAAATTTTGGTGATTAAAGGTGGAGAGGATAGACAAATAAAAAATGTCGCGTGTACTTGCGGTACAGTCGTAATTAATGACGACTTTACTGATTATCAGCATTTAGAATTTTTTTTATAGAACCCATTCCTACTCTTACATTAAACTTTTTGCCATTTTATAATAGTTAAAAATCAGTGGCGTGCCGTGACAATTGACGATAGGGAAGCTGTATTTCTGTAATAAGCCGACTTCCAGGGGCAATTAGTTAATTGCGCGTCAGTGATGGTTTATGATCCATTCGTATATTATTCGAATATATTGTATGAAAAAAAAAAATTATAATTAAATATAGCTTTGTAAAGAAACGTACATAAAAATAACAAAATATTCTTTACTTTTTGAATCTTAAAGCAATACACTTAGTCAAATCGCTCCCTACGTGTATCTAATGGATGGAATCAGACGGTTGCGGTGCGTGCATACACGGGGATTGCCAAATCCCGAGGGAGCCGATACCGTACAGCACGATTTCGTAGTCATAGTTCTGATTTTTACCGCGAGATGCCGCTAGTGTCGTGACGTTCAGATAGCGTATACCTCGTACTGTACTGTACGGTGTGCTTGGAATTTTTTGTCGATATTTTAGCTTTAAAACCATACTTCATCATCGATAATTGGTTTGAAGTTTTCCTGCTACGTTGCTAAGAAATCTTTATGGAAAATATAGCGTTGGATATACAGTGTTAGAAAATACTCGTTGTTATTGTGATAAACACTTCTCAAAAGGAAATCTTACTAAAAAGCGTGTAGGTTTAGAACATAAGCAAATCCTGGTGGAGGAAAAATCTATATTCTNGTTTCGACGTGATTGATTGTTTCAAATACAACAAAGCGTCTTCCGTCGAATATCCCCGTTTGTGCGTATTAATTACTGTGAATAATCTGTAATTTGTTTATAAAAGTAGAAAATCTTCTCAAAAATTTTTGCCAAAATAGATACTATTGTGATTAGACGGTAGTTTTCTACATCACCTTTATCCTTATATAACGGCAAAACTAAGTTTTTATTTAACTTTTCTGGAAAAATACCATTTTCGAAAGATTTGTTTATCAGATACGACAATAGTTGAGCTAAGATATCTGCTATATATTTTAGAATTTCAATACTTAAAAAATTAATATCCGGAGAACTGTTCTTTAAACTCATTATAGCTTTATAAACCTCTGAGGGAGTTGAGTTTCCCAAAAAGAAAGTATTGGATATAACGGCGTTGACACTGCCGAAACATCTGGTGCGAAACCATTCGTGGATCTGTAGTAATCGGCAAAGATATTACAAATTGTGTTCTCATCATCAGTTGTTTTCCCTTATAACTTAATTGATTTATTTTAACTTTATTCTTTGTCCTGGGGCCGTATTCTGGTCACCGTCTCTGGTCTCTCGTAAGCCGGTCGCTGATTGGCTAATCCAAATGATTAGCCAATCAGCGACCGGCTTGCGAGAGACGAGAGACCAGAATACGGCCCCAGGGCTCACTCGCCAATAGATTATCTCAACTTGCACCGATTGTCATCGGTTCCTTTATAATCGGATAGGAATTGACCGTGTTTCAAAGGCCAGTGTTAAGTGTTTATTGCTTTTGCTGTAATATGAGTAGAGCGGGAGAGTCACTTAATAATCCGCCAAGTGTTTTATTACCGTTTAAACAACAGCTCCCCACTTGTTATTCTTAGTAACTAGAGACAGGTAAGATCGTCTGTCATGGTCGGTTAAAGTTTATTACTTTTACAACAGGGTGTATGCGAGCCGCCACCCACTCCCCACCTTTAACGACAAGACGGCTAAGTGTTTTATTACTCTGTAAACATAAACTCCCTTTTTAAATTTAATTTTATTACTTTGTAATTAAATTTACATTATATTCGATTCGCCCTTTTATATTTAGTAAATATTCATATATCACATGATATGTCATTCGTTTAATTTTATACTACTTACGTAAAATCTATTTTTATATCATTCAATTTCCTTTTATATGTTTTTAAATGATGTTGTAGAAAGACTGTTTCAAAAGCAATTTTCTCTCATATAGTCATTAAATAAGCAAAATTATGAATGTATTTATTGTCTGCAGCGTTTTCAAAACAAGGCACGATTTCGAAAGAGAATAATTATTACAGTTATCCTTCATTAAAAATACAATTTTTTATGGTATTTATCGCCTTCCATTAAATAATGAGCTAGAAAGAGACAAAAAACTCAGAGAGAAATCAGTCCAGCTGTATCGTAAGACCAGTAACAATTTCCAGTAGACATTTGTATCCTCGCATTTTACAACATTCGATTTTTTCTCTAACCGAGGACAAAGTCTGAATAACAGATAAAATTTCTATAATAAGCTACGATGAAGGACATTGTATATTTGCGTGTTCGACTAGCTGCTGTGTATCGATAGTTAATCATTTATTGAACATATAAGTAAGAAAGAAAACCGATTGCATCGATATACGAAGTGTCTTTCGACAATTTGGTTGACTTCACTAATTCACAAGATCGAGTGTGGAAAACAGCTGTTTGGAAGAACATTTGAGTAATATTTTTCAAGTAATTATGAATTAAATACTTATAAGTTATATTTATATTTAAGTGTGCTTCTCACCTATTCCGAGTCATAATTTTACTATATTTATTAAGTAAATATGGATATTTTCCATATATCTTTGCTCGATATTTCTAAATATAATTATATTTTGTGATAAAATCTTTCTCTGTATTCACTCTTTGAAAGCTTTCCTTGTTTTCCCAGTATCCAAGGTAATACTTTTATGTTGGAGGGGAGAGAATGATTTACTGTGTGCACTTTGCGATATAAAAACTCGTTGCACGATATTGTGTCTGTTTACAGAGATGTATTATCGTGAACTTCGTGCTATCAGCAGTCGAGACTGTATTAAAATTTAATAAAATTATATTAAATTTTACAAACGAAGAAGAAATCTGTGTATAATTTTGAATATTTAAATTACGTAAGCAAACGAAATTTACCTACGCACTGTCTGCGATTAAATGCTCCTTACGTGTAACCAACCATACCTGCAGATTTTAATTAAACACTTAAATATAAAGGAAGTTTTGTTGTTTATGAAAATATAATATTTTGCTTTAATTGTTTCCAGGTGTCATAAACTGGATGTAAGACCATTTTTCTTGTCTATGACCAGTTACTTGATCAAATAAATAGCTTTAAATATGAATAAAAATCGTAAATCAGTAATCATTAAACTTTCTAAATGCGGGCCGCGAGTGAATTTCGTGCGATTCGGGCGGCCTTCACACATTTTTTTCTTACGCAGTTCTAGGCTTTAATGCTGCTCAATACTCCATAATCCCTGGTAACTACGCACTAAAATAATACAGTACATGGTAATTATTGTATTTGCAAAGTAGTAAACAGTTACACAGTTTATTTTCATTTTTTCACTGGCCAAATTTGAATTGTCTTCGTTATAAATATCAGCTGAAGTAGGGTTGACGAGGAAGAAAACGAGAAGATAAAATTAGGTTGACAAAGGCTGGGGCAGCGAGTTGCAAATGACTAATTAGCATAAAATTGTATTTTTATAGATTTTAATAATTGTACAGATGATCTAATTAGTTATTTTGAAATTTTTCTTTAGGGTTTCTTAAGAATTTTTGAAACGGAAAAGCAAAAAATGTCGTTTTTTCTATCTGACATTGCCAGCCTCACGGTACAGCTGGCTGAGTGGATCTTCTCGTTCATCGAATGTTTCTTTCACAATTTCGTTATATTTTTTCTGGATTTAGCAGGAAAACCATGTCAACTTTTTCTTTAGGGTTTCTTAAGAATTTTTGAAACGGAAAAGCAAAAAATGTCGTTTTTTCTATCTGACATTGCCAGCCTCACGGTACAGCTGGCTGCGTGGATCTTCTCGTTCTTCGAATGTTTCTTTCACAATTTCGTTATATTTTTTCTGGATTTAGCAGGAAAACCATGTCAACTGATTCTTTTATTGCTCTTATTAATAATTATTTACTATTCTTTAGTTAACTACGATAAAACTGTGGTAAGTCGGCTTTTAATACGTTTGTCAGTTATTCATGCTTCTTTCTTCCTTCCTTTTAACATGAATTACTTTTTACTTGTCCAATGTGTTTTGTAGGATATGACAGAGACAGGCTACGATTATTTACGTCCTAGAGCAAAAAAACTAGGTCAGAACTTATCTTTGTTGGTACGAGAAGTTAACGAATCAAGAGATCCCGGTGAACTCCCACCTGTATATCCGAATGGAATTTAACCGTAAGGTATAGTTTAGGACAGTGTTTTTCAACCTTCTTGAATACGCGACCCCTTTACAAGTTAAAAAATTCTGGCGACCCCCTCAGGACCATATTAAAACTATATCAGTGATTTTAAAAACATTTTAATAAACAAATTATTGTTTATTAAAATGAAAATTTCAGAAGAATCGACAATAATTTAACACACATAAAGTATGAAACTTCCTTTAATTATAACATTAGGAACAGGGAACTGTTGACCTTTTTTTTCTTTTTTTTTCTTTAGGATCCAAATTTTCAGCTTTTACTTTACTACTTTTTATTTCTTTTTGCAAATCANGCATCACTCCCGAACGTCCTTTACAACAAAAGATGGTAAAACTGGTCAGAGCTTCGTTTTGGATGCCTTCTGTCCTCATTTAGGAGCTCATTTAGGGGTGAAAAGTAAAGTATACGGTGATTGCGTGCAATGCCCCTTTCACGGTTGGTTATTTTCTGGTAAAGATGGTTCCTGTCAGAAAATACCTTATACTGATAAAGGTAAGATTTTATTTATATAGAATATAGAGTGATCTGAAAGATGCCTACCAAGTTTAATGCTTTATTACATCTGAATCACCAGTGTACAGATTTTCGTGATATTTACGATATGTTCAGTGTATTCGACTATCAGTTCAATGATTTCAACATCATAAAAATCGTCATAAATGAGAATTTATTGATCTCCATCTATTCAATCCTTCAATCATTTATATGGTCTGAGGATACAGCTACCAAAGTAATGAGTTTTTAACTCAATTTGTGTTGGAGGTGAAAAAGTTCTTCAAAGTTTGGTGACAAGCTATGGAATAAAATTGAAGAAGTCGAGATTAAATCTGAAAAGAAATGTACTGAATGTATGATAAATATAAATGATTTGGAATTACTAGATTAGTAGAAACTGAATTCAGTAGATATCAGTTAGATATCTGGCCATACAATTGTAATAAATCATTAAACGAGGGCCATCCTGTTATACTGTTATTAATCGAAATTATTTATTAAAATAACATATTTTATTTCAGTTCCGGAATTTGCTAAAGTTAAAACCTGGACTTCAATTGAACAGAATGGTTTTATATACGTTTGGCATCACGCCGAAGGTCACTCACCATCATGGAAACCTCCCATTATTCCAGAGATCGAGCAAGGATTGTGGAGTTATAAAGGTCGTACGCAATATACAGCGAATTGTCACATACAAGTAAGTCAAAGTTTTATAGCTTTAACTCTTTGTTTCGGTATTTAATGGTGTCAGTTTTTTGCAGGAATTACCGGAAAATGGAGCCGATATAATGCATTTAGATAGCATACATCAAGCTAGTATTTTTTCTGGTAGTAATTTTCATCCAGATAACTGGTGGAATTTTTGTAAACATATCTGGTCGTCTTCTTGGAAGGAAGATTCCGAACCAAATGAACATATGACAACCATGAAAATCACTAATTATATAAAAATTTTTGGAATCTCTTTACCTTGGTTTTCTGCCTTACTGGATATAAAACAGGTAATCTAAATATTTTACCTCTTATTAATCTTACCACTATGGCACTTCCATCACACATTTAATTTTAAAATATATTTGGTTTATAAGTTTGATTAAGTTTGCTTCGTATCACTAATTTCGCCAAGGCACATCTGAGATTTAAAGTGAGTAATATATAACAATAGGCCTATAAGCACTGGTTATACTGAATAACAAGATAAACCAAAATAATTACAAAACGCATGCAAAATATGCTAAAAGGTTACAATTTGACTTTTGTAATAATTACTCATAACAAAATGCAATTATAAATATTCTGGCCTGTAGGTAGCATGAGAATGAACCACTTTCACACTTGAAGTGCAATTTTCTTTTCTAATTGTACTCTCAACCATGTAATGAAGAAAACATCGAACCGAAACAGAAACCAGTTTGATTATGTTCTTTCTGTGCTACTGAATATATATTACAGTAGAACCTCGAAAACTCGGCTCTCGATAACCCGGCACTCCGGATAACTCGGCCACACCCTGGCAGGACAAAAAAATCCTTAGTTAATTAATTTTCATTATAGACAGCTTTATAAAAGTATAAAAGCTCTCATAAAGTATTTTTCTGAGGTCTGTCTTATCAGGTAAATTACTGTACACAGTGTATTCATTAATTTTCATTTTCATGTAGTAAAGGCTCTATGCCTTCATAAAGGANATGTCTTTTTTCCTATATGACATCGCCAGCCTCACACTACAGGTGGCTGCGTGGATCTTCTCGTTCTTCGAATGTTTCTTTCACAATTTCGTTATATTTTTTCTGGATTTAGCAGGAAAACCATGTCAACTGATTCTCTTATTGGTCTTATTAATAATTATTTACTATTCTTTAGTTAACTACGATAAAACTATGGTAAGTCGGATCTTAATACGTTTGTCAGTTATTCATGCTTCTTTCTTCCTTCCTTTTACCATGAATTACTTTTTACTTGTCCAACGTGTTTTGTAGGATATGACAGAGACAGGCTACGATTATTTACGTCCTAGAGCGAAAAAACTACGTCATAACTTATCGTTGTTGGTACGAGAAGTTAACGAGTCAAGAGATCCCGGTGAACTCCCACCTGTATATCCGAATGGATGGATACCTTTAATGGAATCTAGAAATCTTGCAATTGGCCAATCTGCACCCGTAACTGCCTTAGGTAATTTTACATCTCTAGTGATAACTGATTCGAATTTATACGTAAGGTATAGTTTAGGAGGAGCTCACTGTTATTAGATTAGGAATATCACTTACGCGTTACACCTTAGAATGGCAACAAACCTAATCCAGACGGTTTAAGAGTATCAAGAATACTTTTAAGTGCTTTAATTGTCTCTACTAATGAATATTAATGATGTTTCTGTTACTTTATTCAACGTAGATCACTCAGTTCTTCTTTTCCAGGGTCATCAATTTGCAATCTTTCGTGGTAAAACTGGTCAGAGCTTCGTTTTGGATGCCTTCTGTCCTCATTTAGGAGCTCATTTAGGGGTGAAAAGTAAAGTATACGGTGATTGCGTGCAATGCCCCTTTCACGGTTGGTTATTTTCTGGTAAAGATGGCTCCTGTCAGAAAATACCTTATACTGATAAAGGTAAGATTTTATTTATATAGAATATAAAGAGTGATCTGGAAGATACCTACCAAGTTTAATGCTTTATTACATACGCACGATGAGTGTACAGAGTGTACAGTCAATTATGACATATGCAGTGTATTCGAATTCAGTTGAATAATTTTGGCATCAGAAAAATCTTCATGAGTGAGAATTGATTGATCTCAATTTGCTCAATCCTTGAATAATTTTCATAGTAAATGACAGAATAAATGTTCTGAACATATGGCAAACATAAATGCTTTGCAATTAATACAAATTTTATTGAAATATCACTTAGATATATGATCGTACGATTGTAATAAATCATTAAACGAGGGCTATCCTCGTTTAATGATTTATTCATTTAATAACACTATTCATTTAATAACAGTATAAGAGGTTATACTGTTATTAAATGAAATTATTTATTAAAATAACATATTTTATTTCAGTTCCAGAATTTGCTAAAGTTAAAACCTGGACTTCACTTGAACAGAATGGTTTTATATACGTTTGGCATCACGCGGAGGGTCATCCACCATCTTGGAAACCTCCCATAATTCCAGAGATCGAGCAAGGATTGTGGAGTTATAAAGGTCGTACGCAATATACAGCGAATTGTCACATACAAGTAAGTCAAAAATTTTTATAGCTTTAACTCTCTGTTTCGGTATTTGATGGTGTCAATTTTTGCAGGAATTAGCGGAAAATGGAGCCGATATAATGCATTTTAATATCCTTCATCAAGCTAGTATTTTTTCTGGTAGTAATTTTCATCCAGATAACTGGTGGAATTTTTGTAAACATATCTGGTCGTCTTCTTGGAAGGAAGATTCCCAACCAAATCAACATATGACAACCATGAAAATCACTAATCGTATAAAAATTTTTGGGATCTCTTTACCTTGGTTTTCTGCTTCAATGGACGTAAAACAGGTAATCTAAATATATTACCTCTTACCAATCTTACCACTATATTACAGTTTTATCACACATTTAATTTCAAAATTAACTTTGATTTATATATAACTTTAATTAAGTTTGCTTTGTATCACTAATTTCGCCAAGGCACATCTGAAGTTTAAAGTGAGTAATATATAACAATAGGAACAACACAAAAAGAAAAAGTGAGTAATATAATATAACAATAGTTATAGGTTTATAGGCAGTATAACACTACCTATAAGCAGTGATTATACTGAGTAACAAGAGAAACCAAAATAATTACAAAACGCATGCAAAATATGCTAAATATAAGTGATTTATAAGTGATTAGGCCATTGGTTTGTTTGCTTACTTGTTTGCTGCTTACAGTTTCTTATAATTTTATCTCTAAAATTGCATAACTTCTACTTAAAACAGTAAGATTTTAACGATTTTTCTAGCATTTTACTTATACTTTTAGGATCACGTGTTTTTTATTAATTATTTAATAGCAAACATAAGTAATAATATTGCCTATACTTTTTTTTTATTCTTGAAGATCGGTCCAGCAATAGTACATGCGTACATCACGAGCATATTCGGAAGTGGAATACTCCTTCTATGTACCACTCCCGAACGTCCTTTACAACAGAAGATCGTCCACCATTATTACGGACCTAGATTTTCACAGATATATGCCAGCATTATACTATTATTTGAAGCCAAAATGGTAAGTTAACTAATGATACAGCCACGAAAAATCTAGAATTACAAGAAAGATTCGACAGAAAATAATGATTAATATTTATTTCGAATAGATTGAGCGAGACATTCTCGTGTGGAATAACAAAAAGTTCTTAAAGGCACCGCTTTTAGTTAAAGAAGATCAGTTAATATTGAGGTATAGAAGATGGTATTCACAGTTTTATAGCGAAAATAGCCCAAGACTAACTAAGAAGACCTTAAGTTGGTGAAATACAACCAACTTGTTTCAATAGATTTTTAAATAATAAGAGTCATATTTTTGTAATAAAATCTACCCCTGTAGTCACGTTTTATAAAGTTTGCCAGTATTTTGTGTATTCAAGGTGTATTACATTCAATACACATAGGAAGAGAATGATTTCAGTTAAACTGACGAATAACCATAAAATAATGCAAGAAATTAAACTATTTTACATATTTTCTGCTGGGTATTTTATGTATCGGTTTAATTTTCGTTAGAGAACGACTCGAGACACCTAAAGGCAATTAGGCCTAATAGACACCCAAAGCACGTAATTAGCATTAATTAATTAACTCTCCAAGGACTATATTGATTCGTATTCGCACGCACACAACATAAGTAGAAACGAAACAATGAAATTACAAAAAATATATTTATATAGCCTATATACAATAGAATTCGACTTTTTACAGTTTACAGTATACATATTTATTCTTTTATTCATACAGTTTATTGACATTTACAGTTCAGCATTAAAAAGATATGACAATTCCTATTCGTATTTCCTGTACATACGATGCTATCATACCACTGTTTACATACGAACTTAAATGTTTATTGTTTAATTTTATGTAATTGTTTTAATTAAAATAATAAGGATGTCAATAAAAGTATCTTCATTTGTTTTTTTACGTCGAGCGATTAATCATTTTAGATTCAAAATGTACAGAAAATACAGCAAGGAAGCGTAGATTGAAACTGTAAATGATGTTGCAGAAAGACTGTTTCAAAAGCAAATTTCTCTCATATAGTAATTAAATAATGAGCTAGAAACATACGAGACACAAAGAAAAACTAGTCCAGCTGTATTATAATACCAGACCAGTAAAAATTTCGAGTAAACATTTGCATCCTCGCATTTTACAACATTCGATTTTTTCTCTTGCCGAGGCCAAAATCTGCATAACAGATAAAATTTCTAAAATAAATTACGTTGAAGGACATTATATATTTGCGTGTTCGACCTGTTGCCAAGGAATTAATCATTTCTTAAATATATAAATAGGAAAGAAAACCGGTCGTCATTGACAGATATAGTGTATTTCGGCACACGAGAAATTTCTCTTCTGTTTTCTCAAGCGTCAAAACAGGTTTCTCGAAGGATTTTTGAATAAGATTTTTCTACTTCTTCCTTTTTTCATAGCGAAATTATTATCTAAGCAATTAATTATAAAATATTAGAAAAATTAAACGATTGCAGAGAATATTTTCTATATTAAATTCTTCGTTTTCTAAACACGAATCAATTTAATTGACAAAAATTTATTCGTTTCCGGTGGTTTAACGCTTCGTTTTCTTATTTATAATTTTAAATAAAAATTAGGAAAGTAAAAAACACAAAAAAAAATAATAATAAAGATGGAGTCGTTTTTGTTCGAAGCGATTTATAAAGAAAAAATAATTTTATTGATAAATTCATTTTTATTTATTTGATTTCTAATGTTTTATTCTATTTGTTGTCTTTAACTTTACACTTACTTTTTGTCTCGTCTATATATATAATCGAGACGAGTTGATAATAATAATAATCAGCGCAGAGCCCAAACGGTTAGGAGTTGAAAGTTGAAATTTGGTACACAGATAGGGTACGTCATGAAAACGCACACTAAGAAGGGATTTTTCGAAATTCCTCCCCACGGGGGAGAGGGACATGATTAAGGATTAACACTTTCATCAACAATGGAAGTGTTAAGTAACAATGGAAGTGCTAAGTAACAATGGAATTGTTAAGAGAAAGCGACGTGCAATACGCAGATGCAGTTTTTTTTTCTTTTTTTGCGGGAAATCAAACATATTTTTAGACCCATCTAAAAATTTCTAATTAGTCTGGAAAGAAGGAAACCCAATTCTTGCATTCTGTGAAAACGGGTAAGGTTGACTGTAACGTAATAATCTTTATCTTAGTTATCGTTACTCTTGCCCGAGCAACGCCGGGCCCACCTGCTAGTTCTTTATAATTTGATTAATTAAATTATTATAAATCGCCTGTTCGAAACGTAACTTTGTATTATTATCATTATTATTATACTTATTACATGTATTTATATATTAACTTCTTAACATTGATGTTTATGATGTAAGCACACGATTACATTTGCATTTATTATTTTTTATTGTAAAAAACAAGAAATTATTGTTTTATTATTCGCATACATCCATTAAAGCTTTTATTTGTCTGCGTGGTCTCGAGCACGTATAAGCTTGGCAGTGTTTTGAACAGGTTCTTTTTGGCATTATTTATAATGTATTATGCTTTATATCTACCACTTTTCTGCATTGTATTGTACAAGATTCTAGATAATCACCACAGTATTTCCATTTGTTCTTCGCGTTATACGAATGTGTATTATCGTATACATCGTGCTACCAGCAGTCGGACTGTGTTAAAATTTAATAAAATTATATTAAATTTCAGTAAGAAAAAATAACTTTGTATATAATTTTGAATATTTAAGTGTTTAGTAAAAATCTGTAGGTGTACTTATACGTAAGGGATATTTAATGTTGCTAAATACTCCATAACCCCCGGTAGCTTGATACAAAATAATATAGTACATGGTAATTACAGTCTGTTACAAAAGTATAGTTACACTTTGTAAAATTATATTAAAATAATTTTTAAATATATTATAAACACTTTTAGTGTTTGTAGCAAAAGGGGTTTCACCCCCCTTTTGCTACAATTACTCGAAAAATTCTGTTAGGGATGGAGTTTATAATTTTTTTAATTGTTCATCCTTAATTTCATCCCACGCATCCATTATTGTAATTTTAAATTGATTTACAGATTCATATAGTTTTTTTTTTATAAACAATGGCTGCTAAAATCCCCCGTAAATTTTCAATGGGATTTAAATCTGGACTATGTGAAGGCCAGTCAATTACATCAATATTTTCTTTTTTAAACCAATTTTTTGTTGATATTGAAGCATGAATAGGAGCATATTCTTGTTGAAACTTCCATTTACGACCTCCGATTAATGAACCAAATGTAATCATATTATTATACAATAATTCTTGATATTTTTCTGAGTTCATATTTTTGTCAACAAATACTAAATCGCTTTTACTTCCCCATCCAAAACCATACCAAATTATTACAGACCCACCTCCTCGTTGTTGGTTTAATTTAACTCCGCTTTCTCTTTTTAAATCGTGCCAATAATACGAAAACCCATCGGGGGCAATCTAAATTAAACTTCTTCTCATCACTAAACATTATTTCTTGCCATTTTTCAGCCCACCCCATCTTGTCTTTAGCCCAGTTTAAACGCATTGCTTTATGTTTGGCAGTTAAAGGTGGATTCGACTTCATTTTTAAATATTTTACGTTGTCAAAAAGCATCTCACATTCGTGAATGTTAAACATATAGTCCCTCCGTACTGTAACCGCAAACTTGTAACGAGTTACACAGTTTATTTTCATTTTTTCATTGGCCAAGTTTGAATTGTCTGCGTTACGAAAATCAGCTTAAATACGGTTGAATGAATGCACGAAAAAGAAAACGAGAAGATAAAATTAGGTTGACAAAGTCTGAGGTCGCGGGTTGCAAGTGACAAATTTTAATAAAATTATATTTTTATAGATTTTTATAATTGTAGAGATGATCTAATTAGATATTTTGAATTTTTTTAGGATTTCTTAAGAATTTTTTAAACCGAAAAGCAAAAAATGTTTTTTTTTCTATCTGAAATCGGTAGCCTCACGCTACGGGTGGCTGCGTGGATCTTCTCGTTCTTTCACAATTTCGCTATATTTCTTGTGGATTTAGCAGAAAAACCATGCCAATTGATCCTTTTATTGCTCTTATTAATAAGTATTTACTACTCTTTAGTTAACTACGATAAAACTGTGGTAAGTCGCTTTTTTAATACGTTAGTCAGTTATTCATGCTTCTTTCTTCCTTTCTTTTAACATGAATTACTTTTTACTTTTCCAATGTGTTCTGTAGGATATGACTGAGATAGGCTACGATTATTTACGTCCTAGAGCAAAAAATCTACGTCAGAACTTATCTTTGTTGGTACGAGAAGCTAACGAGTCAAGAAATCCCGGTGAACTCCCACCTGTATATCCGAATGGATGGATACCTTTAATGGAATCTAGGGATTTTGCAATCGGGCAATCTGTACCCGTAACTGCCTTAGGTAATTTTATATCTCTAGTGATAATTGATTCGTATTTATGCGTATGATGTATCTTAGGAGGGGTTCACTATCATTGGATTAAAAAGGTCTCTTATGCAGTACATCTTAGAGTCGCAGCAAACCTAATCCGGACTGTTTAATATTATCAAGAATAATTTTTAAATGCTTTAATTGTCTTTAATAATGAATATTCTATTTAATTTTTGCCATACGATATAGGTCTATCTCAGAAATGTCATATGATGGATCATTAGTTTATGTAATGTAACCTTAGGAAGTGGGTTCGAATCCCAAAATGTCGCTACAACATGTAGAATTTTGGCTAATGTCTACCACCAAACAATAACTTTAAACGTTGTATATCTTGATAATAACGACTAATACGTTTCTCTCTTTCTGATTTACCTACTAGAATTTGTACTTTGAATAATTCTTCGTAATTAATAATGAGTTACTGAATTACTATATATGATTATAATTATTATAGATATTGTAATATTTTTCCTGAAATGTTTGCTAACAAATTGATAGATTTTTCAGACACTTCATTTCTTAATTCCACTGAATTTAATAAATAATTAACTTACATAATTACAGCTAAAAGACTTTAAGAAAACTTGCATTATGTAAATTTGGTTCTGGTATTAGATTTATTAAAATTTACAGCAAATACTTTATAAAATTCATGCCAACTTTCACGAAAATCTCTCAATTCTTCCTTTCCAGGTCATCAATTTGCAATATTTCGTGGTAAAACTGGTCAGAGCTTCGTTTTGGATGCCTTCTGTCCTCATTGAGGAGCTCATTTAGGTGTAAAAATTAAAGTATACAGTGATTGCGTGCAATGCCCCCTTCACGGTTGGTTATTTTCCGGTAAAGATGGCTCCTGTCAGAAAATACCTTATACTGAAAAAGGTAACATTTTATTTATATAGAATGTAAAGAGTGATCTGAAAGATGCCTACCAAGTTTAATGCTTTATTACATCTGCACCACCGGTGTGCAGAACTTCGTGATATTTGCGATATGTTCAATGTATTAGACTTTCAGTTAAATGATTTTGATATCATAAAAATCATAATAAATGGGAATTGATCGATCTCAATCTGCTCAATCATTGAATCATTTACATGGTGATGTCTGAGGATACAGCTACCAAGGTAATGAGTCTTTAACTCAATCTGTGTTGGAGGTGAAAGAGATCTTCAAAGTATGGTGTCAAGCTTTGGATGAAAATTGAAGAAGATCGAGATTGAATCTGAGACAAACGTCCTGAATATATGGCAAATACAAATGGTTTGGAATATTAACACGAATTTTACCGAAATATCAGTTAGATATATGATCGTACAATTGTAATAAATTATTAAATGAAGACCATCCTATTATATTCTTATTAATCGAAATTATTTATTAAAATAACATATTTTATTTCAGTTCCGGAATTTGCTAAAGTTAAAACGTGGACTTCACAAGTAAGTCAAAAAATTTTGTAGCTTTAAAACTCTTTTTTCAGTATTTAATTGTGTCAATTTTTTGCAGGATTTACCGGAAAATGGAACCGATATAATGCATTTAGATATCATTCATCAAACTAGTATTTTTTCTGGTAGTAATTTTCATCAGTGGCGTGCCGTCATTAGAAGCGGTGGAAGCGCCGCTTCCCTTGTATTTTATAAATAATAAATACATATTAATTTTAATTATATGAAAATAATCGCACAATATTTTATTATAACCGCATTATGTATCTTCTTAGAAATTTCTATACTACACGTGAAAAATAAAATAAGATCGCAATTGTATATTCGAATATTAGTGGCGGAGTGGAACCATCGCATTGTCAGCATCCAAAAAGCCAGATTCGCGCACGTAAACAAAACCCTGACGAATGAGCCGGAATATTACTTAAACAAAGGCTTAACCGAACCGGTCTATAGCCGAGTACAGTGGGGACTGATTTCTTCGAAATACTGTATTAGATGTAATAAAGACAGAAATGTTTCCTGAAACGAATTAGTTAGAAAACAAATGACTATTAAGTTTAACATACATATTGGATTTTTACAGCTATGATGAGAAACGTTTAAAATCTACAACAGCCCTGTCGCCTCCTTTGAGACAAAAGAGGTATTTGACATTGACCGGTATCGGCACCCCGGGGATTTGGCAGTCCGCGTGTATGCACGCTCCGCAACCGTCTTCCATTCCATTCGTTAGCCACTCGTAGGGAGCTATTTGACTAAGTGCATTGTTTTATGATTTAAAAAGTAAAGGATATTTAATATTTTTATGTACTGTACGTTTCTTTGCAAAGCTATATTTAATTATAACTTTCTTTAAAAGTATATTCGTATAATTGAAGAATATTTTGTATGTACCGGCACATCCACCACATATTTTATTTCACCGAGTAAGTTTTTATTATTTTATTTTTAATTGTAACCCTTATATCGTGGCTAGCGATTCGGAATGTGATTGTGATATTAAAATTGCATTTAGAGAAGTCCACGGTTTTTACTGGCTTATCGGATAAACGATACGAATGGACCCTAGACCATCACTGACGCGCGATTGACCGATTGCCCCTGGATGTCGCCTTCTTACAGAAACACAGCTTCCCTATCATCAAATGTCACGGCACGCCCCTGATTTTCATCCAGATAACTGGTGGAATTTTTGTAAACATATTTGGTCGTCTTCTTGGAAGAAAGATCCGTAACCAAATCAACATATGGCAACAATGAAAATCACTAATTATATAAAAATTTTTGGGATTTCTTTACCTCGGTTTTCTGCCACACTGGACATAAAACAGGTAGCCTAATCTAAACACCTTACCTCTTACCATATTTACCACTATGCCACTTCCATCACACATTTAATTTTAAAATTAACTTTGATATATTTATATAATCCTTGATGATTAAGTTTGCTTTGTTTCATTGTTCACTACATCACTAATTTCGTCAAAGTACTGTACTGTACATCTGAGGTTCAAAATGTTTTATATATAAGAATAGGCCTATAATCAGTGGTTTGCGTTTTATTATTATTACTAATTATAAAACGCAATTATAACTATTCTGACCTGTAGGTAGCATGAGAGTGAGTCATATCTTCATTTGAAGGGCACGAGTATGGCAACTCGGTTTTCCTAATTGTGCTCTCAACCATATAGTGTATATGAAGAAGACATCACACCGAAACAAAAACCAGTTTTGATTATGTTCTTTCTGTTCTACTTAATATATATCTATATATCCTAGTAGTGGTAACATAGCTTATTTAATTTATAACCGATTACGGTATTGGTTTGTTTGCTTACTTTTTTGCTACTTCTAATTAAAACAGTAAGATTTAAACAACATTTTATCATTTTACTTACACTTGTAGTATCATGTGTTTTTGATTAATTATTTAAAAAAACAAATATAACTAATGATATCCTCTATGCTTGTTTTATTCTTCAAGGTAGATCCATCAATACTACATATGCACATCACGAGCATATTCGGAAGAGGAATATTCATTCAGAGCGTCATTCCCGAACGACCTTTACGACAAAAGATCGTCTATCATTTTTACGGGCCAAGATTTTCACAGATATCTGCCAACTTGTTTAAAGAGATTTCTAAGGCTTCAATAAATAAAAATCAAATCTTTATAATTTGTATAAATTAATAGCGTTAGATTGTAATATTAATTATTAGATATATATATATATATATATAATTGTATAAAACAAATTAAAAAATAAAAATTATTTTATGGAAATGGAAATAAAAATTTGCAAATCTTTCAGAACAAGAAGAACGTTAACTAAATTTCGTCCAAACCGATATTTCAATACAGGTTGGTGGAAAGTAACTAGTAATTGAGAATTCGCCATAATTTCTACCTTTATAAAGTGATGATGATGAATATTATTGATCTGTGTACCGTATTAAATGGAAATAGCGGCGCATATCTTAAAATTTAATATAGTTACCCGCTCAATCCACAATGACACGTTTTCCCTATATGATGATATGGCGTACGGCCTCTGCGAGCCCGCAACCGAATTCGTGTTCAGTCTATCTTCGAATGGCAATTTTTGATTGTTTCCTTACAGATTGCGGCATGACGTCGCTTTACCGTAAGCCACCATCTCTGCGCATCAACCACTGGTTTTAATATTTCGTAGTATGAACTAGGGGTTTCTCATTTCCCGGTCCTTTGCTTGTCTCGGGATCTCCAGAAAAAAGTGATTATTTCTTGGGATATAATTAATTAGTAAGATATAAAATGCCCTTTTCCATTCAATCTATGTGGGTGGTGTCGTCTTTTTAATCCATTTAAGAGAAGGCAGATGTTATGTGTTTTTTCACCTGTAGCCTCTAAGAATTATAGTTCGGTTTCGAGATGCCTTGCTGTATTTCTTTTGCTGTCTAGTATTGTCTACTTCTTCTGCTTGGCATCAAGCGTATACTCAAATAATTTGGCAGTTCATTTGGCTTTAGTAATCAGATGAAAAACTTCATACTTGAATACTTCGTACTCGTTTGTATCCTTTCCCAATTTGCACAATCTGGCGTAATGCAGTTGTTGAAGTTACTGGGCATTGTTAAAAATTAATACAGCGTAAACACAAGGCAGATTTTTATTTACTTCAGCATCTGGTACGTTTCCTCTAATCCCACGGATGTTGAAGTTCTTGTGGAATTGACAGAGAATGGCCGCATCGGAATTAGAGCCGATAGGTCATCAAATTTGCTATAGAAAGTGAAGTCACCCTTAGACCGGGGTGCTTTTGGTTATCCTACCGCCGAGATAAGCCATGGTTGAAGAGTTTAATAGGCACACGATAGGCTCAGAGTAAGTCAAAAGGTCTACAGAAAAAGAAGACAAAGTACTCATGACTTCTCAAGTAGTATATTTACTTATGTAAGCTCTCTTTCAGTTAGCAACTGTATTCCAAGGTTTAGCCAATTGTTACCCATGTCGCATCGGAGTTTTAGTTTAGTTTTCATTATATGCCTAATTATTTATCCACTAGTTTATGCTTATACATTATATGATTAATCCAGAATATATGTAAATAAATAGTTTAATTGTAAAGGGGATTTGTTTGTTCCTCCATTTTGGAATCGACACAACCCCTCCACCCCTTGAAATAGATATTAGGAGTCACCACTCAGACGTCATATATAAGAATTGCGAGTTAAGACGCGTTACTTCTTAACTGGTGTCAGGACCTGATGGGAAAAGAAAATTTCGCTATTTTCTTATCTCTCAACATTTAAACTCAATCCTAGCTATCCTTATACAGTAAGCGAGGTCTCACAGACCCCGATCTCATACTAGTATGCAACAATTTGTGCTCTTGAACAGACAAGCAGTCGACCATCATTTTTGTTCCTGTGCGAGCAGTCTCCCTCGGTCACTTTCAATAAAACTGATGCAGCATTATAGAATTCCATTGATTGATGTACGTGTTCACCTAAACTTTGTTACAATGTACTTTATTGGTACAAAAATTATAGTAGTATCTCAATGCTTAGTTACTTTACACTCATCCTTTATTTGGTTGATTAAACAATGCAAACTGCAAATTTTCCTAACTACCTATTTTTCCTCTTGTTTAATAAATGACAATAATAAGTATAAAAGCATAAACATAAAAAAATAACATGCAGAATAAAAATTCAAACATAAAATATACACATAATATTATGAGCCCTACAAAGGACTAGTTATTTCTTATGAGCCCTCTTTGGGATTATTATGAGCCCATGTTGGGACCCCTTCTACTAACCAACACAGACACCCTTATTATATAACATTCTATGGCTTTTTTTTTTTTTGTTCTCCCTGAGTGGTAAAGG